AAAAACTACTCCTTTTCTCAAACTTTGATGAATTTGTAAAATTAAACTACTTGTCGTAAGGCCGTAATATTTCAGTAAGTTCTATAAGACCATGATATATCGCCAAAAAAGTTCCATGAAAATCGGCTTACATTTATTTTCAACAGTTTATTACAAGAAAACGGTTCGGTAGATTTTCACCTAAAACTAATCAGTATTATTCCTAACTAATATCTTCCGAACAGTTTTTGATTTCTTAAAATCGATTCGGTAGTATGAGCTTAAATGTGGACGAAAAGTTTAATACTTTTTTCCAAATTACAAAGAAACGGCTCGGCCGATAGTCGCACAAAACTGAGAAACAACAATAATACTCATCGAGATACATCAAATGGTTTTTAAAATTCTGAAATCGGTTCAGGCGTTTTTGAGCAAACGTCGATGAAAGTTCTAATCTTGACAAATGCCAAAAATACCATACTAATTTTTGAAAACTTTGATGAATTTTTAAAGCTAAACGAGTTGTCGTAGGGCCGTAATATTTTTAAAATCGGTTCAGAATTGCGGGCTAAAACGTAGACGAAAATTTTTTCACTTTTCTGCGATTTATAAAGAAACGGCTTGACCGATCGTCGCACAAAACTGACAAACAATAATAGTTCTCATCGAGATACATCAAATGGCTTTTAAATTTTTGAAATACTTTTTTCTAAATTTGGTCTCATTCGATTCAGAATGGCTTGAAACATCGAGAAAACATAAAATTACCGAATCGGATTTTTTAATGAAAGCATAAACTTCTCCTTTGGGAAATTAAAAAACGTTTTGGGACGTATAAAAGATAAGAAGTTTATTTTATTAAAAATATTGTTATTACCTAATTAGTAAAACAATTAAATACAATGCGTCTCAAAACCTCGAACTAAAAACCATAATATTGGTTCAAGTACATAAACCCCAAATCAATAAAAAACAATCTATATTAGAAAAAAAGTTATATCATTTCAAACTGATTATTAGTCTAATAAAGTTTTGACCAAAAAAAATGTTAGTGAAGAAACTGTGAGTCAACGGACAAACGAACAGTGACTTCATTTCTGTGCGAGTTCAAATGAGCACAAAGTTTTTTTAGATGAATATTTAGTCCAGTCAATTAATTATATTACAATTACTATTAAAAACAGCAACAAAAAACAGATACATGATAAATACAATGGGAAAAAATTATCGAATCTCAAGTATCTCAAGACATTATTTATAAAGAAAATGACAATTAGAAGTTTCAATATCTTGAAAATTGGTAAAACTCTTCCTTTGTTATTTAGTGCCAGAGCATTTCCTTTCCTGAGTTGGATAATATAGTTCCCCGAATTTAGAAACCAAGTTCAATGGTATATGATTTATTTAAAATGAAATAAAATATACAAGTTCTTTATTATTCCTGCTATCAGCAAAATTTTTTTACAATTTTCCTATCATGAAAATTTTTGATGGTTGGGTGAATTGAAAACCTAATGAGAATAAAAATAATAGAAAACCTTCTGAACGCAGCATTATTAGCAATCATTGTGTGTTAAGTCGATAGAACTAACCGGGAACGACCTTAATTACTTGCTTATATAATTTAGACTCGTTCAAGGTTTCGATTAAAATCGAACATAAGCATGTCTAAAGCAATAATTGGATAGATTCAAATGAATGTTTTTTGAGTTTGTATAGAACTAATTGTAAATAGAGAGAGACGTGCTCTATCAAAAATTTTCCGAGGTATACTAATTTAAAGCGTAAGTAAATGTACTGCCGTAGTTATTAGATGAGTTTTTCTTTTCAAAATGGTTAACGTACCATTGCAAAAGTTGTATTTAATAAACTTCAAGTATATAGAGCATTTTGTTATAAGTTCTGAAAATAATTGAATGTTTTTGTAAACATATGAAACTAGTTGGTATTGGTATTTTGCCTTGTGGCAAGTTACATGAACTTCCCGATATGTGTAAATAATTGACTTAATCAATAAAATATAAATTAATTTATGAGTGTTTAAAAGTATTCCCAGTGGATTTATCGCACATCATCGAAAACGAACCAACACTCTATCGTTATACCAAGTAAATCGTCTTATTTTAATTTTAACAAACGCCAAAAAAAAACTACTCATTTTCTCAAACTTTAGTGAATTTTTAAAATTAAACTACTTGTCGTAAGGCTGTAATTTTCATTAAGTTCATAAGACCATGATATATATCGCAAAAAAAAGTTCCATAAAAATCGTCTTAAATTTTTTTTTCAACAGTTAATTACAAGAAAACGACTCGGTAGATTTTCACCTAAAACTAATCAGTATCATTCCCAACTAATATCTGTCGAACAGTTTTTGAAAATCAATTCGGTAGTATGAGTTTAAACGTGGACGAAAAGTTTAACACTTTTTATCAAATTACAACGAAACGGCTTGGCAGATCGTCGCACAAAGCTGACAAGCAATAGTCCTCCTTGAGATACATCAAATGGCTTTTAAATTTCTGAAACCGGTTCAGGCGTTTTTGAACAAACGTCGATGGAAGGTTTAATTTTGACAAATGCCAAAAAACGATAATAATTTTTGCAAACTTTAAAGAATTTTCAAAATTAAACGACTTGTCGTAGGGTCGTAATATTTTAGCATAATCTATAAGACTATGGTATCTACTGTCAAAAAAAACAAATTTTTCGTCGAAAAAAATTTTTTTAACACTTTATTACAAGAAAACGGCCCGGCCGATCTTAACCATAAGCTAATCAGGTCGATTCTCAACCAATACGTTTCGAACGGTTTTTGAATTTTCAAAATCGATTCAGAATTGCGGGTTAAAACGTTGACGAAAATTTTTTCACTTTCTGCTATTTACAAAGAAACGGCTTGGCTGATCGTCGTGCAAAATTGATAAACGTTAGTCCTCATCGAGATACATCGAATGGCTTTTAAATTTTTGAAATCGGTCCAGTTGTCTTTTGAGAAAACGCCGACACGCACACACATACTTTTTCCAATTTTGGTCTCATTCGATCCAGAATGGCTTGAATCGTCGAGAAAACATAAAATTAGGGAATCGGATTTTTTGATGAAAACATAAACTTCTTCTTCGGGAAGTTAATTATTGCAAACCATATCAATTTGCTTAATATATATATTTACTATTATTTTTATTATTGATAATTTTTAAACGTAGATTTTTATAATTGAAATGATTAAGATTAAACATTTTTACAATTATCAATCATCAAATAATTCGCGCGTGTACCGGTTAGGTATGTTATGTTTATACTCGTATACATATACAACATACGTAGATAAAGGAAACGATTTTTTAAACAAAATTATTAGCAGCTATTCAAGTGGTATGCCATATACAAATATTGTTCCAATTATCATTTTAGTTGTTATTTTGTCCCCAGATATGATGAATAATTAGATTATCAGAAGTGGCAACCAAGCATTACTATAATTCTTGCACAAACTGAAAAGTAAAAAATATTCTGGAAATGTACACAGATTGTTTTCAATGGTGAACATAAGTTATATATTAAAGCAAAAATGGGTATAACTACTGCAAGATATATCAAATTAAGTGCAGGTTTGAATGTTGAAAGTATTGAATATATATGCAGAATACCCCGCTTAACGCTGCTTTGCTCAACAATTTTTTTCAGCTCGCAGATTATTCAAAATATGGTTAAAATCCTGCAGAAAGTGGTAAATTTATCAGAACAAACCCTTTTTGGATGAGACAAATGTGGAAGATGTGGAAAAAATAGTTAAAAAACAGCAGTTAGCCTTAAAACAAAAATATTCATAGTATTTCAAAGAAGAGTAGAAATTTCATTAGTGTTTCTCAATAGATCTTTCATCATGATTGAAATTAGGAACCAACTTCTTCATAATGATTCCAATTTTGAGAGAAGATCAAAAGCAAAAGAAAGCGTTATAGATGGTTTACCCAGTTAAAAACTTCGGAAAAAATACAGAATAAAAATGCAAGTTGCATTAGATGCCTATCGACAAAAAAGTAAAACAATAGTAACCCAGAATAGCCTGACTCAATTAGATTTTTTTTTGATTTAATAAGTGTATTAATTTATGGTATATATATATATATATATATATACATATACACATTCATATATACACATTCACACATATATACATAAGTGTTATATACACTTGTCGACTGACTTGTCACGCAGACAGAAAATATTCTAGTTTTAATACATTCCATATTTTTCTAATATTTAATTGTTTGCTTGTGATTTTACAATTTCGAGAAACCACTCTTTGAATATGTATAAAGAATAAAAAAACTTATCCATTTCAAATAAAACAGTTGAAAAAAATATTCGACAACAAATATTTATCACCATTATCATTATCAATATATATGGCAATACTTCAAGAAACTATAAGCAATGTATAAATAATTCAATGATTGATAAGATAAGATAAAATAGTCCATTATCAACGAAAATAGTAAGATATAAACAATATTTATCAACTCAATGTGTATACACCTCAATTATGAAAACATTTATCTATTGCTCAATCATATATAATTGACAATGGTATAATATTTTAGGAAACCAAGAAAAATTTTAGATTAACAACTATTTATAACGTAAGCTTTATCAAAAGTATTCGGTCAAAATTACAGGTGATCTATAAGCAAGATCTTTATGAAACCGCTAAACCAAAATCCTTATAATAATATACAATGAACTATATTGCATGTGTAATATATAAATATTATAGAATGCAGTTCAGTGTTTATATAGCTTTCAGTCCGATGTTTCCTGAGTTTTTTGAGTTTGGAGTGTATACTCGATTGATTGATATTGTAATAATTCATAGCAATAAAATATAATTAATATAAGCCTAATACAACCTGAAATGTCCATTATATTAAATGTTAGGGTAGAAGTAAATTAAACACATATCTTCCACCAAACCAAATTAGTAAGTAATTATGAATATTGAAACTTTACAGTACCTTTCTGAAAGCAAATAATTCCCTCTGCAGTTTTAGCCGCTCGGCAGAAGGTTGCTGCCCCTTCCCTCGAATAAACTTTAACATTTTTCCCTAAAAATGTATATCAAGTTGTTAATTTATAATAAACAAATATTGTTTTTACAGAAATATGAATAGTAACTTTTATACTAGACAATCACAGACTTTTAACCTAAATTTAAAAATAACTTCATAAAACAGTAGAACAAAAGTGGTAAAAATTAAGAAAAACGAGTTTTAAAGAAATCACTTCACAACATAACCATTATTTTTGAACAACCGGCAAAATGTAATTTTTAAAAATACATGTCAAACACATTTTTGCAATAAGTTAGAAACATTCCTCAATATTTCTTTTAATTGATTTCGATATTGACATTTGTTTATGTGCAAAACCGCACAGCATATGCATCTAGCCGACGCCTGTCACAATATTAAAAACACATTTTCGCGTAGCACTATATTTCATTTAATCACAGTATAATTTTTATAAAATTTGTTATTATTTACGTACCTTATTTTATAAAATTTTTATATAAAACACACACTTTATCTATTTATCATAAAATCTAATGTTATACATTAAAATCACGGAGCGTATATTATTTGTGCATATATGCGCGACCGCCGCTAACACGTCGATGAGTCAGTGACCGAAGTGCTGCCTGAAGTCGAGGGAAAGGAGTCGAGCGATATTATTGTGACGCGTTATCTGGCAATACATTCAAGGAAGAAATTCGGTTCGGTTCGGCTCGGTTCGGTTGGTTACGCAGATTCTGTTAAACGGGAAACAGAATTGAGTTTTATTTTTTAAGCTGAGTTAAATTTATAATTAAATGCAATTAATATTTATAACTTTGTGATACAATTTTCTTTGAAGCATACAGAATTGTTTCCATATATAAGACGTAAGTTCTTTAAGACATGTATATAAAATTATTGTTAGTTTCATGATCAAAGAAAACTTTAAGGGATTTTTGATACAACAGACAATAATGAAATAATTAATTTAATGTATTAATTATGAGTGCAATATCTTTACTATATATACCTAAACAATTGTGTGAACTAGTCAAAATACTTGTAAATGTATATCAAGTTTAAATGAATTTTTTGTGCAGATTGTGTGGAGTACCTGATGGCTAACAATATGGCTGTCATATTTAAAATTGTTAAAATCCGTCCAAAATTTTCAAAGCACTTGAGTTATCAAATTAGAAGAATTTACTAATGCTAACAATTAAAAGAACATGAGAGATATTATATGGAAAGTTGAGGTATGTATTATAATTTGTTTCCTGATAATTTACTGTCCCAGAATGATGCAACAATTGCAACATCAAAGAATAAAATTGACTGACATACAGTTGCATATAATATTAGTTTTGCTATTAATTTAACTAACGCTTATGCATTAGTTGACACTGCACCTTACGACACATGTGCAATAATTAAAGTATTAATTAAAATCAATCAGTATTTTTATCGATTAACATCAAATTCATTATCGATTAACATTATAGAAATATAGAATTGATATAAATAATATATGTTCTAATATAATATATTTCATACATTTTCTAATTTATATTTGTATATTAATTAAAAACAATAATTTTTATTATTGATTAAAATCAATATGTTTCCTTCTTTAATACCAATAATTAATAATATGGTATAAATTATGAATGTACCTAAAAAAAATATTTTTTTTTACTTTTATGAATCATTAGATCCTTACTACCTTTTCAACTGCTATTTTAAAATATTTTATTTTCATTATATTAATGATGATTATTAAAATTTCCTAAATTATGCTCATTTCAGATTCTAAAGAAAATTAAACGTCAGGATGAATTTATTTGCAAATATTTCTGTGCAACAGGATCTGTAATTCAGAATGATGTAAAAATGAGTAAATAAATGTATAAACTATGTTTTTCAACTACAGACATTTAAGGTTATTCAGAAAATAACAACCGAAATTTACAAAAGTACCTATTTTTCACAAATTAGGCAGTGACTGCTAAATATAATTCTAATCAGAACTCGATAAGTTCACCAATGCATTTGTGTAATTGTTATGTAATGGTACAGGCCATGTACCACACTTTTAATCCACGATATGCCACAATGATACATATAGCGTTCCATAAAATAAATAAGTTTCTTATGCACTCGTGCTGAATAATGTACCATTGTCCTTAGTACATTCTAGACCATGTTGAAGATGGTACATGCCCTGTGTATTTTTGTACTTTTACAATACATATTCTTGAAATCAATAATGAAATATTCAGTTAATACTTTTATTGCACGTGCAGCTTGGGTTAAAAAGAACCCCAAATTTTCTGCGCCTGTAAGGGTCAACCTGTCATCAGGAGCAAATAAAACAAACAATTATTGTAGATATATTTTTATAATTAATTTAACTGCATATACAAAATGTTACAACATTTCTTTCAATTTGACTAGTTAGGTTTGGTAAAACAACTCATAGCCATAAACTTATTCTACTGTCATTACACATTACGATAAACTTAATAAAATACTGTGCCAAACTAAATCTAGCCATAAAATTAATAACAAGATATAATAAATTAACTACAAAGTTTCTGATATAATATGTAACATATTCTATAAATTGGTATTTACAACATCTAATAATAATATATACAAACTTAGGATAATTTTTTAAAGGTATTTGTCTTTCGAACTAGCAATGAGAAATTTTTTATTCTTGCGAATAGTTATCATAGTTCAGTGGTGATTTCATCTTGTGGTCTTAAGCCAAGTTGAAAACACTCATCTTCCAACCATAAGCTGGTGTCTGCTCCTTCAGCATTCGTTCGTAATTGCCATTGCTCAGCAGTAATAGTATTTCCATCTGAGAACGGCTCGACAAAGTCTTGCAAACTAAGCGCGGAACCAAACCCATTCGACGGCTTGAAAGTTGTCACAGACGTTTGAATAGCTTTATCGTCGTAAGAAGGCGATTGTAAAAAGTTTATTAATTGTGCTACCTGCGGTTGACTTTCATTACTTATATGTTTATAACGCGTTATTAACTTTTCGGCCCACTGATTCAACTTCTTCCAATCATTGGGAACATTAACAATTGTTTCCACAGGCCTATTCAATAAATATAATAATTTAGCCAAATCTCTCACCACTGGCCAGTATGTTAAAGCCGCAGTAGTATCACCATTAGCATGTACTTCTCGTATTTGCCGTCGGATATCGTTCAAAATTGCCAGCAAGCAATAACTTTGTGGTCGTAGTCGATCTAACTCTTTTAAAAATTCCGCTCTTTGGGAGTTAATTTTCTTCTGAGGACGTTTACGGTATTTTGCAATAAGTATACCTGCAGTTATAATAATGAGGCAGACAACTCCTCCTGCACAAGCGCCTATTACTACAGCTAAACCCGCACCAGATAATCCACCTGGTCCTGTTTTCAGACACACTTTGCCATATAGTCTGGAAGAGCAGACCAGGAAGCTGATCTGCCAGAAGGACAATCATCGACGCAGGCCCGACTTCC